GGACATAACTTCAAGTAGTAGGTACTATATTTTTTTGAGTTCCCAATTATCTGCGGTTCTAAAGAACAGTATTTTAATAGAACCTTTCAGGCAGGAGTTTTCAGCTAGGTAACAGGGAGGCTTAGGGATATTAATGTTTGGATGAAGTATTTTTGAGAGTCTGTCTGTTGCTAGCTAAGAACAAGAGCTTTCCAAGAGCCTGGCCCATAATTGAAACAGCAGGAGCAAGCATGCGCCCTTTGGATGACAGTTGTTCTTAGCCACCCTGCTCTGCAGTCCCTTGGCCCCAGCAGGCTTGCAGGCAGCACCAGCACTTCTGGGGAGCAGCTGCAGTGCTTCCTAACCCCTGTCTGAGGGCAGCTGGTTGGAAGACCTGAACTCACAGGAAGATAAACTGAGAGTGGCTCATCAGAGTCAGTAGGTCACAGCCAGCAGGTTCCCCTCTGGACTCTGCCTCCCTTGTTGTGTCAGCTGTCGCAGCCTGTTAAATACTTGCAGTAGGGATCCCTCTGGATTCCCCACAGCACCTGTGCTTTCCTGATCTGGGTGTGTGGAAATAAGATGGCCCAGCTGGTAACTAAACAACAAGACGAAGTGCATATTGCTTGGATTTTTCTGTTGTTATGGCTGTTCCCTCTCCCCCTCCATGTTATCAAGTGCAGGAAGAGATACCTGCCCTTGGTGTTCATTAATTCACTTACTCAAGGGTTACCCAGCAGCAGGCATGACCTGAAGCCTTTTAATATTGAAGAGATTTGGTATCAACTTCATGTGCTTTTCTCCTTTTCCCACATCAAGGTGCTATATATAAAATGACCACAGGAGGAAAGGCAGGTTAGTAGGTAAGGAATGACTGTTTTCACTGGGAATCAGACAGAATGACAAGAGAGGCAGGTAAGCACAGTTGTCTTGTGCACTCATTTCAGTGAAGCCACATACACATTAGTAGCAAATCTTTATTGATTTGTGCCCGTTGGTTTGCCTGAACCAGTGTGTTCTTAAAGTTGGTGTCTTATACTTATGAAGAGAGTGCTTCTTAGCTCAAGTAGATACATGAGACTAAATGGGCGGCTCCTGTCTGGAGGCGAGACGAGAAGGCAGAGAGGGTCAGGACCTGGTTGAATGGACACGGGAAATCTGGGGTGGAAAGGAGGATTGTGCTGTCACAGTATTAGGAGAGCAGCTAGGGTCACATAGCAATGTATGTATAAATTTTTGTATGAGAAACTGGAAAAAAGAAAAAGATAAGGAATGTGGCTCAAGTTCCTCATAAAAATACTGAAGCTTCCCAAATTTTGTGATATTGACAAGTAGCACGATAATGTTAAAGGAATACTTTAGCAGGTCACTGAAATCTGCAGCGGCCACAGCGCCCCCAAATGGATTCAGATTGCATTGCTAGCCTACCTTGAGCCTAATTTCCATTTTAACCTTTTATGGCGCATGGACAGAGCTTTAAAATCTGATGTAGATTAAAAGCAAGAAAATTTCATCAGCAGAGCATTAAACTTAAATATGTAAACGCTAAAGGGGCTGGAAATTCAACCTAATTAAAATGGCTGAACGCAGAATCACAAACAGAATTATAGAAAAGTAAATGTTTACACACACATTGTACACTTATTAAGGCTTACAAAAAAAATGTGTCTCATCTGCCAGCTTTCCTTTGTAATGATATTGTTATAAGGCAGTAAATGTGGTTATAGTTTAAAAAAAAAAAGTTGGTGTCTTATTCTTTGAGATGCCAGCCAGTCAGTGTTTCAGTGCCCAAGACTGTAGACAGAGGCCAGATTGGCATTGAAAGTGGTGTCGTATGGTTTAGTATGGTGTAGTCATTGAATTTTTAAAATTATAGTCCTGATGACCCTCCCAAGCCTAAAAAAGCACACACAACACTTTTTTACTAAGGGCAGCTTGTATTGGTTCCCTCTGCCAATTGATTATAACCATAAACTTGTTAACTTAGAACTAACTGGACCATTTATGGGTATATGTTTGTCTACAGAAATAGGATGTGGGAAAATTTAGACTTGTACAACAGCTGAATTGGTGGAGAGTGATAATCACTTGCTTTACAAAGGGAGGCTTATTGTATTAGCTTACGAAAATCCAAGTTCTGCTTGAGTTTTCATGAATGTATGTAAAAATAGCAAGTAATCTCCCTCTCCCTTTACCCCCAATTCTGAGGAGAAGAAACACTTTTAGATTCTTTTGATGGTGAGGGCAGTCTCCCTTATGCTTAATTGCTGGGGTCTTCTGTGGGAGAAATTTACCACACTTGTACAACTTCCTCATGAAAGCAGATTGCTGTAGAAAAGAGAGTGGCTGAAGGTTTGGTTTAAGCATTTTTCAGATTACCATGAAAATTCAGTCTGTAAACTGACTGCTGGAGGTCCCAGGGTCTGCAGTGAGTCTGGCTCCCCAGAGTGTGATGGCAGGTACAGGTAGGGTGGTAAGGGCATTGGGGTTAACTGGGTACAGTAAACTTGCGCTTGTTTCTTCTGACTTTTCCATGGCTCCCCGTTTTATCGTTTGGCATTTGGGTTCTGTGCACACTGGAGTTGAAATGGAGAATAAGCTAGTCCAGTCTCCTTTGCTTTCAGAGCCTTTCGAGGAGATCGCGCAACTGGTATTTTTGGGGATGAGGGGTGTAATTTGAAATCATTATTCTATTACCAGTGTGTCACTGTTACACTGTCCAAACTAAATAATCACTTTTGGCTGAGATTTTATATCCATTTTATTCAGCCTCTGGCAAAAATTCAAAAGTGGCTCCTCTCCTAGCCTTTTTTTTTTTTTTTTTTCCCCCACCTCTAGTTTAATCTGTCAGTTCCATTCTTAAACATTCTACTTGGTTTCCCCAAGCCAACTCTTCTTTCTCTTACTGAATGAAGCATTGCTATGTTTTTAACCTACTATATAGGTGACAAGGATATTTTATTCTTAGTACTGAGATTATCTGTTCATCACCAGCTTTGTAGAAGCAGCCTTGTCTGACCCAACATTGCGAGATGGTTTTAGTTTTCAGGGATAAACATTTTTTAAAGGGATTGAGACTTCAAAGGGAGGCCCTCCTGCCTGCTCAAGGGGTGAGCGGCTGCCCAGGAGCTCTACAGGAGCTTGGTTACGCCAGGGGAACGCTGCTACCCTCCCATTTTCTCCTCCTTTACGTGGAGACTTTAGATTCTAAGGGGTTGTTTGGAAAGTGAGATTCAAGGAAACTCCTTGTTACCAGGGTTTTTTTTCTTGGTGACTGAGGAAGCTTTGCTTGTTGCTGCTTAAAATACACTACCAGCAGTTCTCTTTCCATAGAAACTAAGTGATTTCAAGCCATGAGGCTTTCTTGCTGCAGTTGGGATTGCCAAGGCTCAGGGAATGCTGCCAGCCCTGTGCATTTATTTCTCTGTAAAGTTGTAGCCTGGTGGGGCCAGAATGGCAGGATCAGGCTTGAAAGATTACTCACTGCTGCTGTATCTCTCTCTCCACGTCCTAGGAATGGACCACGTGAAAAAGGAGTTCTAGCTTCACATCATGGCAGAGTTTGGGTTTTTTGTCCTCTTTTGCCTTGGGAGGCAGAAGTGACAGTGTGTATGAGCTAGCTATACTCTGCTCACGCTCCTCTGCTCTCCTCTGACCCCATTTGGAGTAGACAGTCTTGGAAACTCAGAGGCAAGGATGAGACTACCCAGTCCCTCGTAACTGTTAGGGTATCCCCAGTTGAAGGCCTCCTTTTCTCCTCTTCATAGTTAAACCCAAGCCTTAATAAAGTGCTTCATTTTACCAGCAAAGAACTAGACACTTTTCCCCCACCCCCCACCCCCACTGTTTATTTGGCTTATGGCTTGAGGGGTCACTGTAAAAGCAGTGGGGAATATAAATAGCTAAGGATTCCACACATCTAGAAACTTTTTGGAACATGCTTAAGAGGTGGAATCCTTCTTGTATTTAAGTACCTGGTGTTAGGGAAGGAATTGTGTGTTCACCTGTGTGCATGCATGTGTATTCAGTGTGCTGCTGCGTCAGTATACTCAGCTGTTCATGTTAGTGGAGGAAAGTAGAGTCTGAAAATCTCCAAATCATTTGTTTGCCATTCAGATGCATTATCTGCCATTTGATTTTTTTGTTTGTTTTAACCATCTTGTCCAGCAGATTTGTCTTGTCTTACACTCAAACAAATTTGTACTTCTGGAGTTTGTAGCAACCAGTAGTGTGGGGTGGGGACCAGAAATGTGTTGGAGGGGCCATAGGGATTGACTGTTGGGAGGGATTTACTAGAGTACCTTTTCTTTTGGTCAGTTTGTGATTGTTCCACTAGAGGGCCGTCAAGGAACAGACATGAGGTAGAATTCAGCCTTAAGAGCAGGACAGCGTTGCCTTCAGCTCAAGGGAAGGTGGACAGTATCCATGGTGAGGTTTATTTGGGTGAGCACAGATAATGGTGCTGGAAAGGTAGAGTCTTTAGCTCCTCAAATTCTGGTCTGTGAAGCTGTGATAATTTCTAAATCTGAGGCTGTAGCACAATAACTGATAAAAATTCTGGATTCTGTTCTTTAAACAGAAGTGTGTGTGCATGACCTCCGTCTCTGACCATCCCATCAAAAATAGCCCCCCAGTCACACTCTTACCACATTACCCTGCTTTATTTTCTTCCTAGTACTTCTCACTGCCTGACGTTACTTCGTGTATGTTCTTACTTGCTTGTTTGTAGTCTGCCTTCCCCTCCCCCTCAGTGATCTATCTCTAGCCTAGCATAGTGAATGTCTGGCACATGTATGCACTCAATAAGTATTGGAAGGAAGCAGTGTTTGCCAGAAATAGCAGTAGCTGTTCAAGTATGTCATGTTTTTTTTTTTTGTTTATGTCATTTTTGCTCTCTGAGAAAACGGAATCCACCCAAACCAGTCTTTTCTGGCCTCCCTTTCTCAGCTTAGGTCCTGACTGTTGGGAAGAATGAATGTGCGTGGTTTTCTGAGTCCCTCCTTTCCTCTCCCCTACTCTAGCTTGCCAGCAAAGCACGGACAGAGAAGGAGGAGAAGCTGAGCCAGGCCTATGCAATCAGCGCTGGTGTCTCCCTAGAGGGCCAGCAGCTCTTCCAGACCATTCACAAGACGTGAGTTGGGGAAGTGCAGGGGTGCTCTGTCCCAGGGTGGTGCTACCTCGTTGTGCTGTCTGGTGGCTGACTGTCCGGTGGTTGGATTCCTGAGAGTCCACCTGGGATGCTGGGTAGTGTGTTGGCACTAGCCTGGGTATCCAGAGACATGGGTGCTCACCACGTTCCACACAGAGTGGCGTAAGCATGGACAGGTCGTCTTCTTGGGGCTTCAATTTCTTGGTAAAACTTAGTTTTGGATTCGATTATCTCTAAGGTCCTTTCCAGACCTAGTATTCCATAATTTAGAACTGATGGTCTCTTTCTCTTTTATTCTTGTTGTTATTATACCTTTCTCCCAAAGGTGATGAATTTTTATTAAGGGAAAGTTACATCTATTTCATTTTTCCCAATTTTACATTGGGATGAACATAGGGAGCTCCCTAGAGGGAGAGCAGAAGGCCACCTTCCTAACCACTTCCCAAAAGACATTTTGTCACAGCAGAAGTCATTTGACTCTCCACTGGCTTCCCTAGCTGCTGGAAAACTGACACATTTGACAACCCACCCACCCCCAACTGCCTTCTGTTATCCTGTTTAACCACCTGGGTCTGATGTACAGATGGCAGCTGGCACCAGAGCTGTTTGAGGCCATGGTATATCTAAACGTTTACAGGTATGTGAAGGCACTCTCTTAGTAGCATCAGCTGCCCTGGGTTTCTCCAAGTGTGAACTGGAATGAGTTTTCTCAGTCTGGCAAGCACCCAACTGTCTGATAATTGAGAGGGGCCAGTTCATGGAGCAGCTTCCACTGTGTGGGTGTTGGGGGGTGGAGTACAGATTATAACAAGGTGGAGAGTTTGTTCTGTCTTTGTAAAGACGCCATTTCCTCCTAGCCCAAGGGTTGGCAGACTGTGGCCAGCAGGTCAAATTTGGTCTGCTGCCTGTTTTTGTAAATAAAGTTTTATTGGAACACAGCTACACTCATTGTTGTGTATTATCTATGGCTGCTTTTGCATACAATGGCAGAATTCAGTAGTTGTGACAGAGACAGTATGGCCCACAAAGCCTGAAATACTTACTCTCTGGCCCTTTATAGAAAAAGTTTGCCAACCTTGGTCCTAGACTGCTATCTTAGTTGAATCTAGTGGCCTGAGCCTAGTTGGTTGTTATTCAGTTTCGTTTGGACTTCTGTGGTTCTCCAGGTCCTTAATGTTTCAGGTGGACTCTTCTGGGCCCTCCTTGGAATAAATGTGCATCAGTTTCATTGCTTTTCCTAGCCAGTGGTGCCCTGGAAATGAATCATGGCTACTCTTCTCTCTGTGGCTGCTGGCATATAGTTATTGACTGAGTGATGAACTGGAAACTCGGGGCCAGCTTTCTGGAGTTATTAACCAGACAGGAGATGTGGGATGCCTGCAAGAGGTAACATTTCACCTGTTCTCTTCTCCTTCCAGTATTAAAGACTGTAAATGGCAAGAAAAAAATATCGTAGTCATGGAAGAAGTTGTTATTACACCCCCATATCAAGTGGAAAACTGTAAAGGCAAAGAGGGGAGTGCACTGAGCCATGTACGCAAAATAGTAAGTAAAGGAGCCAAGGACGATTCCTTGGCCTTCATCACACCAGCATCAGGGCAGGACATTGTGCTATAATCCCTGCCACCTCTGACATGCCAACCTGCTAGCGGCACTGCCAAGCCATCCTGCCTCCCAGCATGTGGGGCTCTCAAGCTGTGGCTTAGACACTCCTGTGGGGATGGAACCACTGGGCAGTGTGACTAAAGCCAGCAGTTGACCCTGTGTCCTCTGTAGCGTGTCTTTTTGGAATTAGCCCAACCATCCCATGGTCTTGGGCCTGAGCAGTTCCTGTCTGCCAGGCTGGGTTCTTTTCAGCCATAGGTGCCCTTCTAGGAAGGGCTGATTGGTATAAATCCATTGCCACTGGTGTCTCTGTGGCCCTGAGTATGTCACCTGACTCTCTAAAGTGATTTAGAATGTTTGTAAACACAAACCAAAAAAACCACTCCTACTCTTTTTTTTCTCCAAGGAACATTGAGACACCAACAACATGGATGTAACAAGCGTGATGAGACCAACTCCCCGCCAACTCTTCATTCTGCACTTGTGTGAAGAGGGAAGGGAGAGGTTGGGTCAAAATAGTCTCCCCTCTTATATATATATTAGCTTATAGAGTCAACTTCTTCCAGCTAGTCTTAGCTGAAGCTGCTAAAAATGTGGCTAAAACGCGATACCCACCTACCATGTGGTTAGGAAGGCCAATAGACAGCAAGGGCTAGGGTGCCTGAGTAGTCCACAGGCTGAACAGCCAGGTTGTTGATGCCTGGAGTGGACTGGTGGACTGGTGGGGACACCTTGCTTGCCCATCTTCTTTTCCTGACCTTGGCTGCCTGGTCTCTTTCAGGTTGAAAAACATTTTAGAGACGTGGAAAGCCAAAAGATACTGCAGCGTTCACAAGCCCAGCAACCACAGAAGGAGGCTGCCCTGTCATCCTGAGTCCACACACCTGGAGGACTCTTCCAACATCCAGCCAAGGAGGCAGTGGTGGTGGCTTCAGCGGAGGCAGGCCGGGGGAGGGAAGGGATCCTATATTTCCTGTTGGCTCTCGTTAACAAAGGGTCAGCGTTTCCACATCTTAGACTTGAACAAACAAAACACCCGACAAAAGAGAACAAGAGAATAATTTAAAAGTTGAATCATTACTTGACTAACAGACTTCGGTCCACCATGTCCTTTTCACAGCTCCCTTCTGGAACAGTCACCTTGTTAATTTTATTTTTGAAAATTCCTTTCCTTTCCTGCTCTGCCCTTTCAACTCTTGACTTTCCTTTCCTAGTCGGTTCCCTGCCATTCTGTTTTTATAAGTGGCTACACTTGCCTTCTGAGTGATTGAAAGAAACTTTTACATCTTCTCTTCCAAAATAAAAGTAACAAGCTGACTGTGAGACTTAAGTTGAGACCGCAGCAGCAGACAGAGGTCTCACTTTAAATTTTTCCTTTTTTTTTTTTTGCACAGGGCATGGCTTGAATTAGTTTTATTTTTCTTAACTTTAAATATATATATGAAAATATATATTAAAATGTTCTCTAAATATTTTCTGCTTCTTGCAGGTCTCTTTTTACGAGATCATGGCCACTCTTCCCACCTCATTCCTCCGAAAATAAAAATGCATTGCCCTCCCCAGCATACCCGTAACCAGGCACTTGACTTAGTTCACAGCAAGAATCTCCTGCAGCACTTTGTAGAGCCAGTGTCTACAGATGGGATTCGGGGTTTGAGGGTCCCTGATGGCTTTGTAGTCTTTAACTGTGTGTACCAGTCTCACATTTGGCCAGAACCTCAGGATTCACCCTCTGCCTTTTGTCTTACTTCATGGTACCAGAAGAACCTCCTCATCACTCTCTCCCAGATGGGAGAGCCAGCTTCCCCTGCTCCTGTACCCTCTGCAGCAAGAACTGTTTTGCATGGCACGGCTCAGCTCCTCTTCCTTGAGGGATGACTTTCTTTTATAAGGAAACTGGAGTCCACCCACCCTGACCTTTCTTGAAATCCATATCCAGAGCCACTAGCCCAGGAAAAAACGTGGGTGACCTATAGTTTCTCTTTGCCTGCCAACCTCCTCCTCCTGTGCTCCTCCCCCCTTAAATTTTACAAGCTTATCACAGTTTGTATGTGCTCAGCCGATGGGCAGAAAACCTGGAAGACTTTCTAGACTTTAGCCCACCAGTCTGGTTTTGACTAACCTGCTGAGAGCTAAAACTGGCACCCAATGCCCTTGTGCCTTTAGGGCGGTCATATGGGGCAGAGGGTGCCCCACCTGAATATCAGGCACCAAGTGGGATGTGGGTGATGCTCATGTGACTGGCTAGAGCTTGGGGTGGGGGTGGGGGAGTTAATTACTATTTTTTGGCCATGATCTCTTTCCCCTTCCTTTTTTTTTTTTTTAATTAAATAAATGGATCAAAATTAAATAATTCAAGCCCTGCCTTCAAAATGAATTTTTTTTTTTTTTTTTTTTTTAGTATTGTTTAGCAAAAACAATAAAACCCAAATTTTTTTAACCATCACTCATGTCTCTGGTTTGTGCGTGCTTTAGAGCCCCCAGAGGGAGGGAATCTGAGGGGCTGTATGTTTGGCCTTTCCCTTTAGATTCTCTGCTTCCTTCACTTTACCCGCTCTCCTTCCACTCCCTAAGGACTCACCCAGAAATACAGTGCGAAGTATGTAATTATAAGATGGGGCTCCAGAGTTTAGAGTTGAGTGTAAGTGGAATAGGAAGAAAAAGGGATGGGCACCTACAGAAGACCATTTGTTACAGGACTGTATTTGGAGGGAAAATGACAAAAGAGCTGAGAAGGAAATCCAAATCCACCTGCCATTGGTCAGAATGATTAAAAGTAATGAGCCTCTGATTTAGTCTACATGGAAATGTAGACTTTTGGAGAAGGTAAAAGAGGGAGAAGGGGAGAGCTTGTAAGATCTAGAAAACCTAAAACCTAAGAGGTAAGATTAAAGGAGTGAAGGTGATTTAATTAGAGGGAAACAGCACACCCAGGAGGGAGCTTTTGTGTCCTGTGTCCCGTGTCATCACTTTCTTTTCCCATTAGTCTCCAGGTCTGTGGGTTGGTTAAATTGGGTACCACCTGTTTCTGAGCACTTTTGACTCTTAAGTTTTAGTTTCTGAAATGGTTCAGGGAACTTTGCTCTAAGGAGTTCGAGAGGTGGAGTGAATTTGCTTGGAAAAGCAAGGCAGTGAGGTATAGAAGAAAGTACAAGGGCTTTGAGACATCAGTAGTTGAGTTCAAATCCTCATACCTCCATCTCCTTGCTTTGTGACTGTGGGTAAGTCGTTTCACCTTCCTGAGCCTTAGTTTCCCTGATTGTAAAAATGGAAATAATACCCATCTCCTAGAATTGATGTGAAGAGTTAAATAAGATACTTACAATTAGAAGGTGCTCCATAAATGTTATTGTAAATGTTAGCTTGGTCCTGGGATGGTTAAGTCTGGAGGTGAGACTGGATTAAATGGTTTCCAGAGGCTCCAACTTTGCTTTAGAGTCATTGTGTAGATGACATTTTAAGTGAGGCTAATAGTAAAACATAGATGAGAAGGAGAGTGAGTTCCACCGAGGCTGAGTGACATGTCCAGAGTACCACAACTGCCTGTGGTGACAAAGCTGGAACCAAAATTCACGCCTTTTCCACTCATGGGCTCCTAATGCTGCTCTCGTACATTTCCAAATGATGGCATGTATATTACTCAATTTTATTTGCCAAGTTTTGGGTGGAACACAAAGAATATTGTGAAGAGAGGCAGAAAGTGCCCCTTTAGACTGAAAGAACATTGAACTGTTTAAGAATGTGGTGCAAGGGGCTTGCATCTCTGATGAAACAAGTACAGATAATTTTGCAACGTCTCCTTGGCTTTGGGACATTCTCACTCCACTAATACACACACACACACATCTCTACACCTTGGCACCGCTTAGCCTCCACCACTGTGCACACAGGCCTTTGAGATTACTGCTATTTACAGCATCCAAACAATATCACAGTGAGTTGATATTGAATCTATGCTGGTTAAGTCAGCAGCTTATGGCTGATTTCTGGTCTTTGTTTTGAAAATTGCTCAAGCACTTCAATGTTAATTTAGGGGCTCCAGACTGGGAACCGTTGATTTCAGGGTAAAGGCTTCTTGACATTGTTTTATTTATTTATTTTATTGTTGTGCTTTAAGTGAAAGTTTACAATTCTAGTTAGTCTCTTATACAAAAATTTATACATACATTGTTATGTGACCCTAGCTGGTTTCCCTATACTGTGACAGCACACTCTTCCTTTCCACCCTGGATTTCCCGTGTCCATTCAACCTGCTCCTGACCCTCTCTGCCTTCTCATCTCGCCTCTGGACGAGCGCTGCCCATTTAGTCTCATGTATCTACTTGAGCTAAGAAGCACACTCTTCACAAGTATCATTTTATGTCCCATAGACCAGTCTAATCTTTGTGTGAAGAGTTGGCCTCGGGAATGGTTTTAGTTTTGGGCTAACAGAGAGTCCGGGGGCCATGTCTTCCGGGGTCCATCCAGTCTCAATCAAACCATTAAGTCTGATCTTTTTACTAGAATTTGAGTTTTGCACCCTGCTTTTGTCCTGCTCTGTCAGGGACTCTATTGTGTTCCCTGTTAGGGTGGTCATTGGTGGTGGCTGGGCACCATCTAGTTCTTCTGGTCTCAGGCTGATGAAGTCTCTGGTTTATGTGGCCCTTTCTGTCTCTTGGGTTAATAACTTTCCTTGTGTCTATGGTGTTCTTCTTTCTCCTTTACTCCAGGTGAGTTGGAACCAATTAATGCATCTTAGATGGCCGCTCACTAGCTTTTAAGACCCCAGATGCCACTCACCACAGAGGGATGCAGAACTTTTTCTTAAAAAACTTTGTTATGCCAATTGAACTAGATGTCCTCTGAAACCATGGTTCCCAGACCCCCGCCGCAGCTACTCTGTCCCTCGAAGTGTTTGGTTGTATCCAGGAAACTTCTTGGCTTTGGTTTAGTCCAGTTGTGCTGACTTCCTCTGTAGTGTGTGTTGTCCTTCCCTTCACCTAAGATAATTCTTGTCTACTTTCTAGTTAGTGAATACCCCTCTTCCTCCCTACCCACCCTCGTAACCATCAAAGAATGTTTTCTTCTGTGTTTAAACCTTTACTTGAGTTCTTACAATAGTGGTCTTTTACAGTATTTGCCCTTTTGCAACTGACTAAATTCACTCAGCATAATACCTTCCAGATTCCACCATGTTACGTTTCACAGATTCATCGTTGTTCTTTATCATTGTGTAGTATTCCATTGTGTGAATATACCATAATTTATCCATTCATCCGTTGATGGGCATCTAGGTTGTTTCCATCTTTTTGCTTCTTATTGGAACACAGCTACACTCATCTGTGATGAACAGATGGCAAGTGGGCAGCTGTAATGAGCCTGGAGTTCAGAGGTGAGGGCTGGGCTGTAGAAAAAGTTTTATTGGCTGTAGAGACATGTTTAGGAGTCATTAGAAGATGGGTCAGGATGGGACCATGGTCCCAGTGGATGGATTGGCTTCTGATAGGAGGGATCACTTCCTCCATTATAAGAGGAAGGAAGAAGACAGTAGTACAGTTGCAGGTGAGTCCATAGATTTGGCTGAAGGTGAGAGGGAGTTCCTGACTTGTGCCTCAGTAAACAATTTAGGGACACGCGAGAAGATTGTTGAATGCCCTTTAGAGGTGTGTGTTCATGCTTTTATGGTGTAACTATGTGCCAGTCATGTTGAGTGACTTAGGTGTACAGAAGGTGGATAGTTGGTACAGCCAGGGTTTGGAGATTCATCAGGTCAGTACTATGGACCGAGAGGGGCGTGGAGCTGAGGACGTTTGCAAGGGAGTGATTGTAATAATGGACCCTTCACTCTGTCAGTTCTTGTTAAGATTAGCCTTTTTTGAAAGTTCTGGGGTGTCTTGCTGTCACTCCCATGTACTGGCTCTGCAACCATGTAACTCCAGAACTCTGTGTGGGACAGTGCAAATGCAGGCTGCTTCCAATGCCAGGCACAGGGCCAATGTGGTAGTGAAGCTCCAAACAGATTTCCTAGCACATAGATGCCAGGGATCTTAGAGCTCTTAAGTATGTATAGTCCAGCCTCCTACCTAGTTGAAATAATCCCCTCTGTAGCATCCTTGACAGACTGCCCTACTTGAACACTGATTGATGGAGAGCTCATTACTTTTTCCTCTCAGCAGCACCTCACTGGTAGAACAGGCTGGAACTCAGGTCTCCTGCATACTAATCCTTGCGCTTTAGGATTTTTTCCTTTTCCTAGTAGTCTGTGAAAGGCATAGGAGTTGCTAAATGGGCAGATGTGACTAGGAGCTGTCATCTCCAGTCACGTGGCTTCTAAAGGACTCCTCCTTAGTTCTTAAGTGTGGCCCCTGCACGGGATATGGTCTGTTAGCACAGAGGACACTGAGGCCATTTCCTGCCATGCCTGGGCCACTGCAGGGCTGTAACTTCTTTCAGCTGCTTTTGGCAGACGCACTGGCACAACCTTTGACTCAGACTGACATGGGGGTTAGCAAAAGCTGCCCAGACTTATTCACAGGCGTAGCTGTTATGAAAAATCTCCAACTCGTGGACTGTAGATTTTAAAATCATAAATATAGATGTTTACATTTACCCCTATTAAATACAATATTTTAGCCAATTGTTCCAATCTATTAAGAGATTTAAAACTTGAGTCTATGAGCCAGTATACTAGTTATCCATCCCAATGTTGTGTTGTTTCTAGTTTTGAGAAATTGCCCTCTGTGTTTTCATCTTTTCCAAATTTTAGTGAACTCATGGGAGTGCCTCGTGATCATGTTTTAGGTAACTGCCCAGACAAGACATGTTCAATGAGCCTTTTTGAATTTTGATATCTGTTGTTAGAATTACTAGTCTGACTTTTGAAAACTGGAACTTTTGCCAAGCTCTAGTTTCTGGCAACCTTCTGTTTGTCATATTTTTCCCAAGACTCTTGGCAATGATTCTTCAAGTTATTCCAGTATAATTTGCTTGAACAAGATCACTTGAATTAATTCAGAGACTTGAGGCGCAGACTTGTGCACTAGGTTGGTGGTAGCTCAGCTGGTCTTTCCATCTGAGGGGTAATCTATGCTATTTACCCACTCGGCTCTGTCTGTGCACCTCCACTTATTTAAGGATGTTTGGCTGGCATGGGGGACAGTGGCCTCATCTTTGGGCACAGCTGCTTAGTGGCTAGGAGCATGACTAGATTCAGACAGACTTGAGTTCTGTTGGATTTCAGCTCTGCCACTAATTAGCAATATGACTTGGCAACTTACCTCAACTTGCCAGACCTCTATAAACTAATGAAAATTCCTGTCTCTCAGGTAAGGATTAAATGAAGCCTTTAATGAGAAATCTGGCCCTTGGTAAGTGTCCCTTCCAAAATAGCACCTGCTATTCTGTTGGAGCCCTGGTGGCACAGTGGTTAAGAGCTACAGCTGCTAACCAAAAGGTCAGCAGTTCGAATCCACCAGCCGCTCCTTGGAAACACTATGGGGCAGTTCTACTCTGTCCTGTAGAGTCCCTATGAGTTGGAAATGACTCCACGGCAATGGTTTTGGTTTGGTAAGGCAAAGTGGAGCCCTAGTGGTGCAATGGTTAAGCATTCAGCTGCTAACTGAAAGACTGGCAGTTCCAACTCACCCAGTGGCTTTGTGGGAGAAAGACCTGGCAGTCTGCTCCCATAAAGATTGTTGTTGTGTGCCATTGAGTTGATTGCGGCTCATAGCGACCCTATATGTCAGAATAGAACTTGCCCCATAGTGTTTTCTAGGCTGTGATCTTTATGGAAGCAGACCTCCAGGTCTTTTCTCCTGTGGAGCCACTGGTGGGTTTGAACCACTGCAGCTAAACCATTGTGCCACTAGGACTCCTCCTGTAAAGATTACAGGCTAGAAAACCCTATGGGGCAGTTCTTCTCTGTCACCTGGGGTCACTATGAGTCAAAAATCGACTCAGCAGCACCTAACAACAAGGCAAGGTGGAAGCATGGGGCACAAACACCCTAGCCCCAGATCCCTGTTTCAGAAAGAGATGCAGATACTCCTCGAAGGCCAGGATGGAGTATTTTGACCTGTGGCCTCATGAGAACAAAAGAGAACATTCCTTTCCTTTGTGCCCAGACAAGACCAGGGTGAATTATAGATGATGGCAGATCTCTTAGGCAGCATGGACTAAAAGGAGACACCTGGCTCCTTCCTGACCTGAGGGAGGGCCCTGGCGAGCCTCAAGCTGCCCTCCTGAAAAGAGGTAGAGCAGGACTTGGGTTTCTGGAAGGGAATGAAGAAAGGATCAGTGGCACCTGCTCTTAGAAGGCAGGGCGGGGCCCTTCTCCCCTGCTTATAAGGCCACAAGGCCTTGGAGATTTCCTCACCCTGCCCCCCATCCCACCCTCAGGCTGTGGTTTTCCTTGGAGCTGGCCCCTCTACTGCTCTGGGGGCAGGGCTCTGGCAGGAGGCCAATGACCAGAGCTGAGACTCTTTCCACTGCCATTTCTGGGCTGGGGCTGCACTCAGCAGGTGTTGCCAGGAGCACAGGTGAGTGCATTGGGCTTCTGTGGCCTGAGGCCCTGACTTGGGTGATCAGGCCTGGCTGAGGGAGAGCCAGGATCTAGTTGAGGCTCTGTCCCCTGGTCTACATGAGAGCAACTGGGTGAGTGTTCAGGGGCAGGAGATGGCAGAGTTTCCCCTGGGACTTTGTGGGAAGTAAACGAGGTAGGCTATGGAGTGGGGGTGAAGAGAGGTCCAGGGGGGAAAGGGAGGGTCATCTTCCCTGATTTCTTTTCATCCTAGTAGAAATAAAGGTATGATTGTGGGGGGAGGTGTCAGGGTGCTGGAGTCTCAGGCTGAGATGGCTCTTGCTGGAAGCCTAGGTGACTGAGGTAAAATGATGCGGAGGTGGAGGGAGGGTGTTCTTGAGACCATGCTGGGGGATCAGGCAGATGGTGAGACCCCTGAATGGTATCTACTCTTATTTTTCTCCCTTAGCATCACTGTGCTTCCCCAGGGTCCTAGGTGGGAGAGTGAGGCATGAAGGTCTCACCATCCATGAGGGCCTGATGCCATCCTCACTCCAGCCCCTCATGGGTCAAGAGCAGGGCAGGCATGGCCACTCCTCCCTCACAGTGGCCACGGCCACAGTGGTGGCATCAGCCTTTCTTTGAAATCTGGTGGCAGTCTGTCCGGCACCCTGCACCTGCCCGGCCGAGGGCAGCGTGGTGGTCTGCCGGGGACTTTGCCTGCTCAGCCTTCCTCCCAGGCTCCCTGACCGAGTCTGGCTTCTGGAGCTGAGCCACAATAATCTCAGCCACCTGCAGGCTGGCTCCTTCCAGGGCCTCTGGGGACTGCGGGTGCTGCTGCTTTTTCATAATGGTCTGCGGGGCTTGGCTGGTGGGGTCCCGGGGGGCCTGGGCTTCTTGGAACAGCTGGATCTCAGCCACAACCAGCCGGCCCGCCTGCCCCTGGGCCTCCCAGCCACCCTAGGTTCTCTGCTCCGGCTGGACCTCTCCCACAACCTGCTCACCACCCTGGATGCCTGCAGCCTGCAGGGCCTGGGGAGCCTGGAGCAGCTTGACCTGAGCCACAACCAGTTGGTCGAGCTGGGCGCAGGCAGGCTCAGTGGGCTCTTCCATCCACGCTGGCTCTCGCTGGCCGAGAACCGGCTGCAGCGGGTTGGGGGCGCTGCCCTGGTTGCCATACTGGGCTTGGAGGTCTTCTCTCTGGCTGGGAACAACATCAGCAAGCTGGAGGCTGAGGCCTTCGCGGCCCTGCCAGCACTGGGCCTCCACTCTCGTGGACAACCAGCGGCAGCACCTCGAGTTCATGGTGGTGGCGGGCATCCGGACAGCGGGCACTAGATTGCTGCTGGCCAACAATCTTTGGGCGCATGACTGCGACCTGCAGCAGGCCTTCGGGAAGCTGGGCCACCTGCAGCCCCTGCGTGTGGCCAACCTGGGCAACTGCGCTGAGCCTGGGTGGCTGGCAGGGGCGGTGCTGAGCACTGTAGAGGCCTGACTCTGCTTGGCTGAGACAGCCACCGTGCTGGCATCACAGGCAACATGCTGGTCACCATGGCCTTGGCTGTGGTCATGGCCGAGCACAAACACAGGCAGGGCCCTGGGGGAGCAGGGGAGCCCTCTGGAGAGGTGAGAGGTGCTGGAGGAGGGAGGTCAAGGCAGCTGGAGGAGAGGGAGCTGTGGGAGAGGTAAAGGGAAAGTCCTCAGAAGTCTCAGGGGGTGGGAGGGATTGGGGGCTGTGGGCAGGGACAAATGGCTATGTTTAGAGCCTAGGACCCCCAGCTGCCCACCCCTCTCCTCTGACCTGTCTCAACCCTAGAAAATGGCAGTTGGCCCCTGGTCCATCCCCTCTTAGCACTCTTCTGGGGAAGAGGCTGTAAAAGGTAGGGAGGGAAGGAAGCTCAGAGGGAACTGGGCAAGAGGGGCAGATACCAAGGAAAGCTTCCCGGATCCTAATCCCGAGTCCCTTCCTCACACGTGTCCCTGGCCTCTACTTAATCACAAGCTGGTTGTTGAGGTTATGTTGAGAGGATGGGGCATTGTCCTAGTGAGAGCAAATCTGGACAGCCCAGGCAAGTTTCTAGGACTATATTATGGACCTGCACCATCCCAGTTCTGGTCCTGCTCACCACCTCAGCCTCGTCCTGAGGGCTGTGCATCTTGTCTGTCAATTGCAGTCAAGAATGAATGAGTAGACCGGAGGAATAAAACCAGTTGAAAAGTTGATTCTGTACTATGTGCCTGTATTTCAGGGAAGAAAACTTAGTTTGTGTGATTATCACTGGTGGGCGGAGGTAGGCAAAATGATCTTTAATCTAGTGTTTCTCTCATTCCTTCACCTGGAGAACTCTCCACCCCCCAGCACACACCTACACAATCCCACTCTCTAGGTCCTTGCATGGACACACACCTCTCCTTATTCTTTTTGATACACCCAGGCTATCCTAGTGACTTTGTTAAAAATGAGACATGAACATATAATGTTTTGTTGCTCAACTTTCAACTGGCTGATTGGGAAATTTAAATTCACATTATCAGAAATGCTGCTTGGACATAAGTCCCCTCCCTCCTCCCCAGGGAACTGGAAACAGATCTCCTGAATTAAATGGTCTTCTGGGGGTACTCGCAAGGTCTTAACTTTAGCACTGGAAGATGAATTCATATGTTGTGGGGGTGCACGAAGATAGGTGGGCGTAACCTTGTGTTGGCAACTGCAGAGTGCCTGGAACTTTCGGCCATTTATTTATTCAATAATTCTTTATTGAGCACCTACTATGAACTAGGCATAGACTTCGTTCATTCAGTTAGCTATTCAGCACATATTTCCTGAGTGCCTCCTCTATACTAGGCCCTGAAGATATAATAGTAAACAGAAACCAGACACGATCCTTGTCACCATAGAACTCACAGTCTAGTGGGTAAGACAATCATTAATGAAAGAATCACAAATATGTAATTGCCACCCTGTTAAGTGTTTCAAAGGAAGGGTACTTGATGTTACAAGAACATATAATAGGGGAGCTGAGAACAAATTGGAGGGTTGGGGGAGAGTGAGGGAGACCAGTTGAAAGGCTGCTGCAGTTAAACTGACAAAAGAAGATGGTATTTTGGGCTAGAGTAGAAGCATTAGAGCTGGAGAAAGTGGACTGATTTGAGATGGCCCATATGTTCACATCAGACCTTCCTCTTCTTTCAGGGGACAGACAAAAGGCAAACCAAGACCAAATGTCTCTACAGGTGACTTCTTTTAGCCAGAAAACAACTAAAACAGAAAACCGGGGGATTTCCTCCGGTTTGTGTGTCCCATTTATTGAACCCCTAGTATGTTCCAGGACCAATACCGTCACATCTAAACCTCACAACAATTCTGTAAATTAGGTGTCATTATCCCCATTTTATAGATGAGTCTCGGAAAGTTTCGGTGATGTGCCTGGCCAAAGTCACAGGGTTGGCGCCGGGACTGGAGCATTCAAAGACTAGTTCGCTTCAATACATCAAGTTGATCGAGGGCTTCTGATGTCTTGAATCCATTGTTCCTTCCTTTAGTCTAGTTTTCAACTTTCCAGCTACTAGGAGGGGGTCCTAAGTTCTCCATGGTCAGAGAACTCCACGGCGAGAGGCCCTCATTCGCTCTGGAACTAGGGAGCGAGAACCTTGTTCCCGGACGGAAGGGAAAAAGCTACGTTCCCGGAAGCGGCGTGTCCCATCCCCGTGCCGGCCTCCTTGCTGGGGGTGAGGCTGCAGCGGACTGCCCTTCCCCAAGATGGCGTCAAAGGTGGGTTCGCGACGGTGGATGCTACAGCTGATCATGCAGTTGGGTTCGGTGCTGCTTACACGCTGCCCCTTCTGGGGCTGCTTTAGCCAGCTCATGCTGTACGCTGAGAGGGCAGAGGCGCGCCGGTGAGTGGTCCCACGCAGCCGCCGAACGCGGTGGTGGTGCGGGGGAGGGGGTACGGCCAGTCCCGGGAACGAGGATGTGGTGGGGTGGGGAAGAATTTGGCGACCAGAAGTTGGAGCCCCCGGACTGGGAGGAATTGGGACCTCAGAGTTGTTGGGAGGGGCTCTTGTCCAGAGCGATGTGGGCATTGAGCATGGTGCGGGGTTCTGGCCGTAAAGGGGGGATCAGGTGTGGGGAAGCTTGTGGGACTTAAGTGGGTCTCAGGGCCTCCCTCCTCACTTCTTTCTTACCTCGTCACTTCCCCGCTCCGGGTTCGCAGGAAGCCTGACATCCCAGTGCCCTACCTGTACTTCGACATGGGGGCTGCTGTGCTGTGCGCTAGCTTCATGTCCTTTGGGGTGAAGCGGCGTTGGTTCGCGCTGGGGGCCGCACTCCAGCTGGCCATTAGCACCTACGCCGCCTACACTGGGGGCTACGTCCACTACGGGGACTGGCTAAAGGTGAGCGTCTTGGCCTTAGACGGGGCTTCGCGAGGGCGATGGGGAGCTCGCGGCAATCGGTGGCCTATGTGTGGTGTTTGCCAGTGCACAGTCTGAACGCTGGGAGGGCCGAACCGCAGGCTTATGGAGGTTATTAGAGTGCAGGAATAGAAGGACTTTAGAGACCGCACAAGCCTGCTCTTCAGAGTATGGAAACTGAGGCTCAGAGATGGGAAGAGACTTTCCCAAAGTCACACCACAAGCTAGCATCACAGGTGGGACCACAACCTAGGTCACCTGATTCCCAGAACCTTTTATACTATTAGTTTAGTAATCCTAGACTCACAGGACAAAAGGGAGTTGGGGAGTACCTGAGCCAATCATCTGATTTTATGAAATTTAATCTTAATGCAGCCTTTAAGCCTGTAAATGTGAAACCTGTGCCAGTCACCACAGACTTGGAGATAAGCCTGGACAAAGGCAGTACCCATAAGGGTAGTCAGAACAGTAGGGGAGGCAGATGTGTGAACAGCGAGAGGACAACAGATCAGTGGGGATTTTTTTTGACGGAATAGACTCTATACTATGTAGAGGAAAGAACATTAGGATTAGTCTGGAGACCTCAGGATGGGGCAACATGTGGTGTCTGGGTTCTGCCACTTACTTTCTCTAGGACCTTGGACAATTATCTTAACCCTCTGGGCCTCCGTTTCTACTTCTGTAAAAAGAATTATCTATCCCTGCTGTACCTGCCCACCATGCTTGGAGATGGTGAGGGTTCATTAGATGGAATGTGATGTGTAGAGATGGGCAGTTCTGTGCTCTGGGCAGCCAGGAAAAATGTGGGTGGCTGCAGTTCCTAACTGAGGTTCCCTTGGCTCAACCTAGGTCCGTATGTACTCGCGCACAGTTGCCATCATTGGCGGCTTTCTCGTGCTGGCCAGTGGCGCTGGGGAGCTCTACCGCCGGAAACCTCGCAGCCGCTCCCTGCAGTCCACCGGCCAGGTGTTCCTGGGCATCTACCTCATCTGCGTGGTAGGTTGGGGGACTGTTGGCTAGAGGTGCCTGGCTGGGAGTGAAATGTGAGCCCAGAGATGTGCACCAAACAAGGCCTGCATATAAGCCCTGAGGGCCTGGCCCCCAAGAATTGCCGTGGCCAGCTTCTGGGCCTCAGGGGCCTGCCTGAGGCCTGGCTGGGAGTCCTTTCCAACATTATTGCCACCAGGGGGAGAAGAGGTTGGATTGACCATGTCTCATGGGGACAAAGGAGAGGTTTGGTGGGTTTCAGGCCCCAGATGGGACTCTGCCACCTAGAAGTGATGGGGATAGCTAGTTCCAGTCATCCCTGGTGCTAGGGGAAGCAGGTGTGAATGTGGAAGTGGAGAGGCCCAGGCCACTTGACCTCATTTTTGTTACTGGGCACCAGATTGTGTGTGCAGAGGTCTGTGGGCTCCTACTGGATAATCACAGGTGAAAGCCCCAGTCTGATGGTGGAGACACCATCTGCCCTTCAGAGCCCTCAGGGTGAGGGAAGACATAGACCCTAACTTCTTGGAGCTCCCCAGTCTGAGGTGGAGACAGAGAACCCCAAGTCTGAGAGGGGAGTCAGAAGCCTACCTTGCAGAGGCCATCTTGCAGGCACTGTCTCAGGGTGGCCTTCCCCAGCGAGGCTTCTCAGCCTGCTGGAGAGTCTTTGAACAGACAGTGTGTCTCCAGGCCTACTCGCTGCAGCACAGCAAGGAGGACCGGCAGGCGTATCTGAACCATCTGCCAGGAGGGGAGCTGATGATCCAGCTGTTCTTCGTGCTGTATGGCATCCTGGCCCTGGCCTTCCTGTCAGGCTACTACGTGACCCTGGCTGCCCAGATCCTGGCTGTGCTGCTGCCCCCGGTCATGCTGCTCATCGACGGCAATGTTGCCTACTGGCACAACACACGGCGTGTAGAGTTCTGGAACCAGATGAAGCTCCTTGGAGAGAGTGTGGGCATCTTCGGGGCTGCCGTTATCCTTGCTACTGATGGCTAAGTTGCATGTCAAGAGGCTGAGCTGAGTGCATGGAGCCACAGAGGGCCACCCTGCCTTCCTCCTTGCTGGCCCGGTTGCTGTTTGTTTGTCCTTTTTGATCTGTTTGTTTGATACTTTGCCTTTTTTGCGTTGGTAGGAAGGAGGTCCCTTCCCCAAATTCCTGGGCTCAGCCCTTGGGAGGGTGGGCGCCTGATGCAGTTGCTTCGTGGGTTTGTTCCTGTTCATTTGAAGGAGAGCTGAGAGCCAGCTGTGCCCCCAGACCTCCTGTCCCTGATAAGGGACTAAGGCAGGGCTGGGGTGGGGGCTCTGAGCAGTGGGAGACAGAAGAAGGAAGATGGAAAACTAGAAGTGAGCAAATATGAAAAATTCCTTTTTGAACCTGGAGGGTGCAGCTAGGCTCTGCAGTGCTTTGCAGAGGCTGAGAGTGGGTGTGTGTGTTGGCACATATGTATCAGGCCCCGGACGAGCAGAGGGGCCAGACACCACAGAAGTCACATGGGTTCTCAGGTTATGCCCGGCAGACAGTATCAGCCCTTTACCGCCCACTTGGAGAGCAGTGCAGGCCCTGTCTGCTCTGGAGTGTGCAGAGGTGGGGCAGGCATCAGCCAGCTCCCTGCCTCTTGCTGTCTGTTTCCGGTTTTGTGGTTGGCCTGGTGAGAGTGGAGTGCCCTCCCAAACACCAGACCACACAGTCCTCCGAAAATAAACATTTTGTATCACATTTGGCTTTGCTTCTCTGTTCTCCCCACAGGGCACTTTGCCACTAGCTGGGATTGATCCTCCGCTTCTTGAAGGCCGGTACCTGGTTAGGCCCCACCTCGCCCCTGCCATGATCTTTCCCCTGTTCTGAGTGATTCCACAGTCCTTTGGCTCTCTTTTCAGGAATCTCACAGTCCTTCCTGCAGTTTTTGCTTTTGATATCTAACCTCAGTCTTGTTGGAGTTTGTCTCTTTCCTCCCCTTTTGGTGCTGCTCTTTTTGGAGAAATCTTTGGCCAAAGGCAGCTAGAGGGAGAGAACTAACATTAAATGCCCACTATGAGGCCGGGTATTATTGCCATTTTACAGATGAGGAAATGAGCGTCAGAGAAGGCAGACAGCTTGCCTAAAGCCACAGAGCAAATTGGTGGCTAGATTCCAGGTCAAGCTGTCTAATGTCCAAACCCAATGTGTACTAGACATGACCCATCTCTTGAGGGAAGACAGGTTGCCCTTGGGGCCTTGGTTCTGTCACAACCCCTAGTGTGCTGTGATGGTCTCCTGCTTGCTCATCTCCCTGCTGGCCCATGCACCACCTGACAGGAAATAGTCCCAGCAGCCAGTGTGGGACCTAGCACATAGTGGAGGTTCAAAAATGTTCAAAACCTCTGGGCTTTGGACTCCTGCCCCTGAAGTGTTCTGGTCCTGTAGAGACAGACACAGTCTCCAGTGGGGCCTAGGGGGAAGTGTTCCAAGTCTGGGCTTTTGAACCAAAGCCACCTTGTGGTCGCTTCTCTAGGGTCTGGTAGGTAAAAGATGAGCTGTTGCTTTCTGGGCTTGGCTCTGAGCCCCAGCCTGGAAGGGCATCTGTGGGAGGGGCACCCATGGGAAAGGGAGCTGGGCTGCTGGTCTGTGGAATGGAGAATGTTTCCTACCTTTGGGGTAGGGGACCACTCTGCGGGCTGTTGACACCCAGATGAGGGAGATGGCAGCAGCCTTCAGCCTTGGGACCCTCCACCTTACTTAGCTCCCCTATTCCCTCTTGGAGCCCCTGGGTCCCCAGTCCTCAAAATCTTGTTCCCAGAGGGTCACTGCTAATTTCCTTTAAAGCGTGAGCTGACTCGCAGCCAGGTATTTGTGTTTTAATCAAGGCCTCCTGAAAAGTTGCAAGACCCAAAGGAATTAAAATGGGTGGTGGGATATCAGGCAGGTGAGGGTAATATATTGGGCAGGGGAGCCTCAAAACACAGCACAGAGGCTGCAGAAACCAGCCCTTCTCGAGGTTCTTCTGAGCAGACCCCTCTAAATCAAACCCCTCCCCCATCCTAAGGCTGAGACTTGAAGACCATCTGGTTGTGGCTTTAGAGCAAGTGGAGGTTTTGGGCCAGCCTCCTCCTTCCTGTGTCCTGTGCTCGACCCACTTCAGTGCCCCCACCTTGGCAGAGTCAAGTGGGGGCTGCTTCCTGCTCTGCAGATCACTTATCCAACAAGCCTAGTCCTGCTTGTGGCTGCCTGGGGCCACCGCCAGCAGGCATGACTTTTGGTCCACCCTGGCTGTCCTAGGGCCTGCAGGGCCCATGGTGAGGGTCAGCTGCCTAGGTCAGAAGCTGGCTTGCAGAAGGAGTCCGGCAGCCCCTTGGCATGGTTGACCAGCTCATAGGAGTCCCGGATATCAGCCAGGCCGAACCAGAAGAAGATCCACTGCTTGTTGGAGAAGCTGCCATCGCTGTGCTTGAAGTACCTGGGGGTGGAGTGGGGGTGAGGTGCCTTTAGGGCATGACCAGTGCTTGATCACTGGTTTTTCAAAGACCCTTCTGGGACCTGCTGTGTGTTTTTCTATTTCACTTTCACAGCAGTTCTCTGAGCCTGGTATTTCTGTGCTCACAGGGAAGCAGCTAAGGGTCAGAGAAGTTAGGTAACTTGCCAGGGTCACACAGGAGGATCAGAGGGAGAGCATGCCTTGCTCTCTCCACACTGTCTTGGCTGCTTAGCAGTGGGGAGAGGTTCTTGTTCACCTCTTGGTGTCCACAGAGCCGGGTAGTGGGGGATGAGGGGATAGTTTCTGAAGGAAAGAGAGGAGGGGGTGTTCGGAGGGAGGTACAGTGGGTCTGGAGCCAGGAGCTAAGCCTGGAATAGAGCCTGAAGGGTTAGGACTTCTAGGCGGAGGTGCGTAGGGGCAGGGGTGTTCCTCCCTTCTAGGGATGCACTGAAGCAGGACAGAGCAGGGTTCGATGTGGCCTGCCTCTGGGGAATCTCGATCTGTGTATGGTCTGCCCCCTGGGGAATGTGGGGCTACACTAGGCAGGGCCTTTGCGAGAGGCTGGGGGGGGGGGGCGGTGCGGATGGAAGGGAAGCTACTGAAAAGAAGGGGGAGCCCACTCTTCCCATGGGGCGTGACTGGCAAGAGCTGAGAGAGGAGAGCAGGGGTGGCGACCAGCCCAGAGCTGGGAGGGGCGGGACCTACCAGGGGTTGATGGGGTTGGTGACCCGGGAGCGCCAGAAAAGAGTCTGCAGGTCCCGCAGCAGGCACTCCCACAGCATCTGGCCTGAGCCCTGGCCCTTGCGGCTGGAGCTCACCACGAACTTGTCCAGGTACGGGGTGCCCCCCAGCACAGGCTCTGTGGTCAGAATGGCGGCTGCGTTGTACCTGGCGCAGCGGAGGAGAGGCAGGCTGGGACCTCGCCTTGACCCGAAGCTGCCTGGCTGTCCCTCAGTCCCTGCCCTTTGGGGCTCGCAGGCTCACCCCTCAGAGACGTAGATGGAGTGCAGCCGCGGGCGCAGCGAGGCGAGATAGTCGTCCCGGAGTTTCTTGCCAAAGCTGGCGTTGACCAGGTCCACCAGGCGGCCCTGGTTCAGGCTGTCCAGGCTCCGCACTCGCAGCATTCGCTCTGCGTTCTTGAACAGCGTCCCGCACCCTGGGGGTATGATAGAGGGCGCGGGGGAAGGTTAGCCCCAGGGCCGGCCCCATCCACCCTCCTCTGTTTGCGCCGCCAGGTCGGGGTTCCTAGAAGAGCAGGGGCTGGTGGGACAACTGCCCTCTTTAGGAGATCGCCAAAATTAAATTACCTCTGCCATCTGCATAGACTTGTGTGTGACTTTCACTCCACCAAAAAATCAAACCAAAACCTTTGCAGTTGAGTCGATTCTCATAGGGACCCTATAGAACAGAGTAGAACTGCCCCGTAGGTTTCCAAGGAGCGGCTGGTGGATTCGAACGGCCGAGCTCTTAACCAATACACCACCAGGGCTCCGTGACTTTCACTCCAGGAGATGCTTTTCCCGGGCATCTTGTCCTCCAAACCCTGCCCATTGCCTGTAGCCCCACGTACTTCCTTTAATCCCGCCTATCTCCTCAAATTCTGTCCCTGGCCCCGCCCTCCAATCTAAGCCTCGCCCATCTCTGTAGTTCCACCCGAAACCAAAAAACAAACCCGTTGCAGTCGAGTAGATTCCGAGTCATAGCGACCTTATAGTTCCACCCAAGTCCCATTCAAATCCGCTCCATCTCCTCCTCGCCTACCTCCCTAACGGGCAGGAAGCCATTGCTGTGGCATATTCCAACGGCTTCTGGACTTGCTGGACGGCAGCTTCTCCCGCTTACCGACACCCAGGCCCGGCCCGCCCACTGCTGGGACCCAACCAGGCCCGCCCGCCGGCCCGTAGCCCTCACCTTTGCTGCTGAAGAGCTCAGTAAGCAGCGTGCTGGCGGCCGTGATGACCGCCGAGGAGCGGTGGGGCAAGCGGCTGAGCACGTCCACGATGAGTCGCATCTGCTGCCGCTCTTTGGTGCTCACCCACTCGGCATTGGTAATCAGGTCCAGGTCGGCGGGCAGGTTCACGTTACTCAGGACCTGCGGCCGGGGCGAGGGGCGTGAACTTCCCACCCACAGCCGGCCGGGACAGCTCCTCTCGCAGATTGCGCGCTGCCCCCACGGACCCCTCTCCTCCCTGGCCCCTTTACCTTGACTTCCAGAGTCCTTGCCCAGGGAGGGCTCAGATCTGGACATCACGGGCTGCGCCCCTCCCTGACACTCCATTAGGCTCTCCCGGCCCACCCGGTTTGAGACTGACTCTGGGGCTCCTCAGGGAGGCGTGCAGGGGGAGCAGGAGAGGGGGCTAAGGCAGGCCTGGAGTCGTGGGGGAGGGGACCATAAGAGAGGGTACACCTTGTGGCTGGTGTCGCGCAGGCCGCCTGTGGTATTGAGGAAGATAATTTTGGTGGGCCGCAGCTCCTTGGCCAGCGATGCGGTCACCTCCATCGAGTCGAGGAGCACGGAGCGGCGCGCGGCAGTCTCCCCGATGGGACACAGGATGGGGATGCTGCCCGACTCCAGGCACCACTGCAGTAGGTCTGTCTCCACCGAGACGATGCCACCATAGCTGTGGGCCAGATGTGGTGCTCGATAGGGCCCCGCCAGGCCGTGCGGGCGGGGGCAGGGCGGGCCAGGAGCTCGCTCCGAGGACCCCGGGGCGGATGAGGCGGTACTAACCTGGCATGGGGGGCTGGCTCGGCGGCGCCCAGCACTGACCCGCCGCCAAAGAAGGGCACAGCGGTGGCGGCGTTGTGCCGAAGCGCGTCCACCAGCACCTTGCAGCTCTTCGCGAGTTGGGCCTTGGCCTCCCAGAAGGAAAGACAGCCCGAGGGCGCCGTGGGGGCAGGCAGCCCAAGGACCACCAGCGACTTCATATCCATGCGGTGCAGGAAGGCCAGGGCGAAGGCCAGGCTAGACACAGCCTGCCGGCACTGGAGCACCTCCTCGTCCACCTGCGGAGGAGTGGCGTTCAGAGGCGCGACCCCGGCCCTGACGTCCGCTGCACACCTCCCCACAAAGCCGTTTGCTCCTACAGCCTGGCACCGCCCCAAGGGCCCTCAGCTTGTCTCCACCCTCCCTAGGAGCTGTCAACCTCAACTTTTGGCCACCGGAGCCCACCTGCTCGCCCTTTGCCCATTTGGTCCTTCCACCCTCTTATCTCACACCACTGTTTTACGCCCTTATCTCACACCAGTGTTCCTCCGCTCCTCCCTGCGTCCTTGGACTCTGGGGCACATTGGGGGAAGGGTTGACGCAGACGACTCCTGGCCAGTTTCCCCTAACTGCACCCATGAAGAGAGATAGCCTTCTTCAGAGCATCACACTTGCCAGGTTGGGGTCCCCAGGCTCCTTACTCGGGCTGGCCGCGAGGCTTCCGGGGGAGCACACAGCCTTGGCCAGTCTTGGGCACTTGTCAGGGCTCTGCCGCGACCCTTACCGGTTCCACTATGCAGGATCCGCAGCCGGCCCTGCCATGCCTGACGACATGTCGTCACATAACCACCATCCCCTCGCTGGGAGACGGCCGACGCTGACGCTCACCTCGATGACGGCGAAGGGCTTGTCCGAGGAGTGGTCACAGGTCTGGAACTCCATGAGCCAGTGGCGCGCCTCCCCCAGGCTGGCCCCGCACTGGTTCAGGAGGACCTGCAAGTCCCGCTGCACCAACGAGCGTCTGGCGGGGTGCTGGGGGAGCTCCGGGGCCACGAGGGGCGCGAAGGGCGGGCTCCATGCCGGCTCCTCTGCGGCAGGTGGCAAGACTGCGTCCTCTGCGCCCTCGGCCTCCTCGCGCGGAGGCTGGGCGGGCACCCAGGCGGTGCTGAGCCAGCGCCCGGGGCTAGCGCCCCTGGACGCCCGCCGGCGCGCACTGCCGCTCAGCCTCCGGGCGCCGCCAGGACCTCGCGGGCAGTGCAGCAGCCGGCGGGCAGCGACCGCCCGCAGGGACCCAGCCGCCCGAGCTGTCGCCATGACAACCAAACTGGCTCGCCCCCCCATGCGTGACCGTCTGTCGGGAGCGCCTGTCTCTGGGGGGGCTCTTAACCTGCCGCGGGGCGGGGCTGGACCCGGCCGGGGCGGGGCCCAGAAAGGGACCCGGAGTCGTCCCTGGGCGCGTTCGAGGAGGATAAGGCCATGGGTCAGGGGGCGGGTTCCCCGGTGGCCTCTCCCTAGGGTAGGATGGTACCCACTAACGAGGGTCACGCGGCTGAGTTATAAGGGCGGGGCATCTTTAGTCTGCTGCCAAAGCCGGTTCCAGGAAAGGTTCTGCGGACTCTGGGGTGACTTTGGGGTCTGCAGGGCCTTGGAGAGGGCGGATGATTAAAGAAGGTCTGCTAATAGGGAGACCTGGTGGTGCAGTGGTTAAGCACTCGGCAGCTAACCGAAAGGTCAGCGGTTTGAACCCACCAGCCGCTCAGCAGGAGAAAGATGTGGCAGTCTGTTTCAGTAAAGATTACAGCCTTGGAAACCCTATCGGGCAGTTCTACCTTGTAGGATCGTTATGAATCACTCAACAGCAACAGGTTTTTTGGCCTAGGGAGAGCAGGTGGCCGGACTCAGGGAGGGGGCTGGATTTGGAGGCAAAGAGGTGTGGAAAGGAGAGGTGGGGAGAAAGGCAGAGGTGCCGGCCCTGGTCAGTCCTGTTGTCTGAACTCCGAGAAGATTGCCATCGATCATGAGGTTACCAGGGGTTGCCAAACTCCAGCCACTGTGTACCACCTTGAAGAATTTTGTTATATCCTTACATCACCCTTTATCAGCATTAAAGTTTTTCTTTAAACCTTTAAAACTGAAAACAGTTCAACTCCAAATCCATGCTCTTAAGCAAGATTTGAAAAGGACTTGAAAGAGAAAACTTTCACAGGATATGATTCAGTGTTACTTGACACTGTGTCCATGTGCTGGGACAGCCTCGTGCGCCATCAATTGTATACACTTCACCCTCTGGGACACTTTGATCTAGTTCGACCTTCTGTGGTTATAGAGCAGGAAACAGCAACCATAGAGGGGAGGTGACTTGGCCCAGGTCACACAGCTCATTAATGTCACAGCCAGACCCAGGCATCCCAAGTCCCCACCCTCTGGTCTTTTCTTCCTTCCAGTGTTCTGTGTTCACCATGCTGGGAGTCAGGGCTCCGGGGGCTCCACCTAAATGGGAGCCAGTGGCCTCTGCTTCTCCCCTGAGCATCCCAGAAGATGCCCGGTGAGTGCTGTGAGCCCTTCCTGGGTCTCCCCCACCAACACACACACACACACACACACACACACACACACACACACACACACATACTCACACACACCACTATCCTATGCAGGAGACTCCAGAGGAGAGGGGGGACCTGACCTTTCTCAAGGCTGATCTCCTCCACTAGCTTTTCCATTTTCCTGCTTAGAAACCTTGAGTCCCAAGGCAGGAATGAAGCAATGGCATGGAGGGTCTGCCCCTCCCCTCACCCTTTCCTCTAGGGCCTGCTTTCTCTTCCTTCCTTACTGCTTCTCCTTCCCCTACACAGGTAAACTCCCCAGAATCCACTAGAGGAGGCAGTCCTAGCCCCTGGTGGCATCCTGGTTTTTCTCCCCAAGCTCCTCCCTATCCTCAGAGCCCCCAGCCTCAAATGCAGCTTTCCCTTCCAGGGCCCTCCATCCTAGCTCTTCATCAGACTGCCACCCTCCCAGACCTCTCTCCACTTGGGATTCCTCCTGCTCTCTCTCCCTTGGTTATGGATTGAAATGTGTCCCTCAAAAATATGTGGGGTAAATCCTAACCTCTGTGCCTGTGGTTATAATCCCATTTGGCAATGGGTTGTATTTGTCGTGTTAACCAGGCAGGATTAATGTAGGGTGTGTCTTGAGTCAATCTCTTACAAGACATAAAAGGAGCAGATTAAGCAAGCAGAGAGGGGGGAAGATAGATGCCATGCCACATGAAGATCATCAAGGAGCCAAGGAACAAGGAACTTCCCCCAGAGCTGACAGAGAAAGCCTTCTCCTAGAGCTGGCACCCTGAATTTGGACTTAAACTGTAAGAAAATAAATTTCTGTTTATTAAAGCTACCCACTTGTGGTGTTTTTGTTATAGCAGCACTAGATAACTAAGACACCCTCCTTTGCTGCTGTGGGGCTCTGTCCCTGCCTTGGCCTCTCTTCACTCCTCCCAGCCCAGGTACTTTCCCCTTCTAGGTCCTTTCTCTCAGCCTAGGCTTAGATCTGCCTCCTACCAATTCGGGCCCCTGTGAGGGCAAGGGCTGCCTCTCCCCTCACACTGGACCTCTCTGAGGGCAGCAGCTGTGCCTTTCTACTCTCAGACTGGGGGTCCCTGAGGGCAGGGCTGATATTGCCCTCCTTAGACTGGGGGCTGCCTGAGGGCCACTCATTTCAGTAAGTGCCAACAGCATCAACCCCATTTCTCCTGGGCTGGAGGGGCAGACACTGGCTGGGAAGCTGCTTCCTACTCCCTTGGGCTTCAGCCCAGGGGGCCGTGTCCCCAGGCAGCCAATAGGGCTCAGGGATGTCCCAGTGGATAATTAACTCCAGGCCTGGTGACCCTGGGGCCTCTATGTCCCCACCACCTTTCCCTGGAGGAAGGCCAGCCTCTGGCTGGGGAGCTGGCCCTGCTTTCTGGAGATAAGTGTGGGTGTATGGGGTCAGCACCCCTCCCTGACCCCGTCTCCCCCTGAACCATGTGTGGACACAAAGGGGTACAGAGAGGCACAGGTTTCCTCACACACGTGTTTGTGTAGAAGTGTGCATGCCTCAGAGGCTTTCACAGCGATGATGTCATACAGAGGAACATGCGCACATACGTAGAAAGATACTGACAGTACACAAAAATACCCCTAGCTTTAGTCATTGACAACTACACAGACACTTGGACCTGAAGACACGAGTGTGCACAGACTTGTGTACACACACACATGCCCGTGCACGTGTATACATGCAAAGTTAGAAGCAGAGGCACGCACACCTGAGACCATACCCATCTACCCATACACAGAGGCACATATCCACATCCTTCCCGTGCGTATACACATACACAGACACACAAACACTGAGGAAATCATACACAGAGTCTAGGGTGTTAAAATACACATTAAGACACACCCCGAGAAGCACAGACCTCTCCTGAGAGTGCCATTTGCACTTATCCACTGACACACACACAGATACCCTCAGGTTAGTCAAAGGCAAATGCAGGGCACAATCACTCGACAAAAAGGCTGGTAAGTCAGTCCTCCATTGACTGCGTGCCTGCCCCACGCAGCTGAATGTGGTGGATGCTGGAGAAAGACACACAACCTGGATGCTTGGTCTCACTTTAGGTTTACAACCACAAACCACAAACCCTTAGCGCTGCCAGATGGAATCCATTCATTCTGTCTCCCAAACAATGATTTCTCACTTTCTTTTCTCTCCCCAAACCTCTGGTACCTCCTCCCCAAACACTCAGCTTCAGAAAGGATTTCCACAGCCTTCCTCCTGCCTAAGCATCTGCACCCAAGTTTCTGCTTTCAACCTGTGGCCATAGATGAACTGCTCTTGCTCCATCCAAAGCCAATTCCTCTACTCTTTTTAGTGGATCATTCCCGCCAGCACATAAACACAGTTATTTCTCCATTGTAACAAAACCTCCTCTTGACTGATTTCCTCCCTCCACTCTCCACGCCACTCCCAGGTCAACTAACTGCTGCCCCATTTCCTTGCCCCCTTTAGCTTCAAAACTCCTGAAAATAGTTGAACAAATTTACCACCTCCAGTTCTTCCTCTCGTTCTTTTTACAGCCATGCTGCTACTTCCTGGGCTGCGAAGGTTTGGGCAAGTCTTTTAACTTCCCTGAGCCTTGCCCTGTAAGACAGGGCAAAGAGAATAAATCTCGTTGCATTGTAGTGAGGATTAAAAATTCACTGTGGGCACGGAGTGGGCCAAATCCAGACTGTGGAAAGTACAGGACAAACAGCCTGGTTTCTTCCACTAGAAATTGCAAGGGGAAGAGGAGAAGGAGCAAATAGACTAAAAGATGTTTAAAGTCTCTTTTAATGCTTATTTGGATTCAGATTCAAACAAGCAAAAAAAAAAAAATTGGGGAAATTTGAGCACAATGGGTATTTCAGATATTAATTTTTTAGGTGTGATAATGATTATGTGTTATGTTTTAAAAAATATTCCATATCTATTAGTATACATACTGAAATATTTATGGATGAAATCTAAGATGCCTTGAATTTACTTCAAAATAATCCTGGAGGGGAAGAAATAGGTGGGGGGACAGATAAAAAATAAGTCTGGTCAGAGTTAAGAGTCCATACTTGTTGAAGCTGGTGGTAGGTACGTGGGGTTTATTATACTATCTCTCTCCTTTTATATACGCTTGGACATTTTCAAAATAAGAAGTAAAGATTCAATGAGTTCACATATGTGCGAGTGCCCAGTCTGATGTAACGTAAGCAATAAATGCTAGTTTGCTTTTTCCAGGCATAGTTTTCCTCCAAGGCATTAATATGTGAAATACCAAATACTCCACAAATACACAGTACAAGGAAGGAAGCACTCTGGGTTTACGGATTTAAAATGTTCCATTTCAAGAGTTCCATGAGCCTCCTATCCAGGAGAGGGCGCCTTACTCTCTGCCGCTCTTTCTCTAAAACCCACCCATTGCCGCCCAGTTGATTCCGACCCATAGCCATCCTATAGGACAGAGGAGAACTGCCCCATAGGGTTTCCAAGGTTGTAATCTTTAGGGAAGCTGACTGCCACATCTTTCTCCCGCGGAGCGGCTAAGGGTAGGAACCACTGACCTTTCGTTTAGTAAGCGCTTAACCACTGCATCACCAGGGCGCCTCTCTTTCTCTGGCTGCTACAAACCTGGGGCGCGTCAAGAAAGAGGCAGCCCCACAGTGTAGACGCTTCAGAGACTAAGAAAAGGCCATTGGCTTCACTCTTCAGTGACTTCTCCTTTTCGGTGGAGTGGTGGGGAGGTAGGGCGGGGAAGATGGCAGAGGGTTGGAGAAGGGCCGAGAATGAGGACTTGAGCATGGAACTTCTGGAGAAATTGTGGCTGGAGAAGGAAGCAGAGCCAACTCAAGTGTGGT